TCTGAAAGCTTGTTTTAAATCGTGCATGTGCTTTGGTCGGTAGGTTTAATATTAATAGTCAACCAGTATAATTCTGAGGTGATGCAATACAGTTTAATCTAAAAAATGTTGAAAGCACTTGTAATAAGGATCTTAAGATCATATGGGAGCACTAATTTACACTCAATTTGCTGCATAATTCAACATACATTAGAAAATCGAACACTCAAGGAAAAGTAAAGCATCCAAAAAATTAGAGCATTTAAAATTGCCATTTACACATAATGTTTGATTAAATGATAAGCAAACCTTTGATTCAGTTATCCTATATTAAAGGTTGAATAAAAATAAGATTATTATTTGAGTCATTATAAGAGTATGCCCTAAATAATCTTACAGTTCCACTAGTATTAATGCAACGTCATGACCACTGTAAATAATATTATCAAATGATAACCCAACTACTAAATAATAGTACCTTAAATAGAGAATGGATAATGTGTCTTCAGTAGCACTAGCTGCACAAAGTTTAGACAACAAATAAAAGTATTCATATGTCTCACCTAAAAAGGTAATTTTATTAGTTAATCTAACTTTGCATAATGTTGAAACAGATTAAAAACAATCATTAAAACAATTTAGTTAGCACTCTCAGGTACATTTTCACCATGAGAATTTGCATTTAGAGTAAATAGCGCTACTTCTTCAGAACCAGATGTACTACATTTACTACAGAAAGAACTGATACATGTATACCAAGAAATGTATACACTACTACTTTTAAACCCGAAAACCAGATTCATAAGTGACTTCATCAGATATCTATTTTCCTGACTTTCTTGGATTGTATATTCTCAGAAAATTTCCTGCTTCTTATGCTATATGTTGTAATAAATGCTCGCCATATTATAATATCAATATGTATATCTAATCAATTTTTTGACTGCTATTTATGAAGTGAATCTCGAGCACAAATTGAAGAATAATTTGCTCAAACAACCAGAGACTTCTTTGCAAGAAGAATTATATTTATAGTTTTCACATTTTGTTGGGTCAGTGTTACAGTTTTGATGTTATTCGTAGATATTCAGATACATTTTGATGTGTATTGCTAAAAATAGAAATTAATTTAGGGTGTGTCTGTTTTCCAGGTTTTAGTTCAGTAGTAAAAGTAGAAGATGCTAGACAAGCTAAGCAAAACAATAATCAACAAATTAATCATAAGTGCCTCAAATAGGGAATTATTCGAAGTCTTCGTCATATGCAACTGATGGCAGTATTTAATTTGGCACAAATCCTATTTAATTGTTATGATGAAGGATAATTCAACCATGTATCATATGTGTCTTCCGCACACTTATACGACCTGGAGTTGAAAATACTAAAAATAATTCTTAGCATCAAAAAAGAAACCGTGATAATCGGTATATTAGGTCCTACATACTACAAGGTTATAGCATCAATAATATCCAGTCAGTTATATTGTATAAGAGTTATTGGGATCAAGAAATTATGAGCATTGAATAACTGTCAGAAAGTTTTAACAAACAAGGAATGGCTAATATATGTAAGGTTTACAATCTCCATTATAAGGATGAGTTTTTTGACATAGGAACTACAACTTGCAGTTTTAGTTGAGGTAGAGGTCTTAGCTATCCAAAAATATAATTTAACTTATCCTCAGCTTACGAACTAAATAAGAACTTTGGTGCTCTTATTTGAGCAGAGTTGCATTATGTTAATATTATACATTAATAGCAATGCTATTATAATAAAATCCAACAGGGCAGAACAAAGATCACAATAAGTTTGACTTTAATTGCTGCAAGTTTGGCAGATTAAGGTACAAGCTGAACACGTATTATTGAACATTAAGACATAAAGAGTAATAAAATCACATTATATAGACATTTTGAAAGTAAACTCAGAAATAGTAGGAGAGGCAGAGCATTTGGTGCAAAGAAAGGACTGACTTATGCATAATGGATCAGCTATGTTTACCAATACTTTGCGATTATAAATGTATAAATTTATATCATTTCTGATTGTTAAGTAGGAGATCTTTTAAATTGCGGATCGTGCTTCAGGTAATGAAACATTTAAATTTTCCAGTATCATCAACAGATGTGACAGAACATTTAGAGCAAATAGTAGATATTTAGGTAATGAAAATTTACTATTGCATTGATATAGCTTGAGCAAATTAAACATATATGTATGAATATATAAGTTACATGTATATCATCATAAATTGAGCTAATTTTAGATCCCAGAACTGATTTATAAGACATAAGGATTCAAACAGATGGTAAATAATTCTATCTCTGTATCACCGACAATTCTAGGAATAAATAAACTACATCCTTTGCAGCTATTTTAAGAGTAAGTAAAATATGAAGTACATTAAGATATATTATTGACAGGGAGTTTAACATATCGAGTCATCATCAGGCATTAATACATATAAAGTAAAAATTACTTCATGTAGTGAAGTAGCCTAATACTTAATCTCAGTTAAAAATTATATTACATAAACACATTTAGTTGAAGTATGAGAGCTTGAATTATATTGTTTCGAACATATGTTTCTAGTCGTGAGGTATTTATCCATAAATATAACCTAAGCATATTTGGACATTGTGTGCATTAATATTTAATTTAGAGAAGAAGTAGCCATCAACACAAGATATCCATTTAGTCAGATTAGCATTATTAGGAGCAGTAAAACAATATCATATAAGATAAAAATGGTAGTTATAAAAAGCAGACAAGTATTATTTGAGACATATTTTTTTACTTGTCTCAATGGTCTCAATATTTATTTCTCAAATTAGGGATAACTAGTATCTTCCGTAAATTTGAAGTAAGGATGAGGAGTCTTAATGTTTTTTGGAAAATTTAAAGATATGCTTCAAAACAGACTTTACAAAATCGACAATGGAAGCATTGCCAGCAAATTTTATATTATTATCAGGAGATGTTGTATAAACATAATGTGATATAGATTTATTACAATTTTTCCGATGAACAGGTTGATTTGCAATTTCGGTAAGTAATTGACAATGAGTCAATCTGGATTCATTTAACATAAATTTGAACCAACTTAAACTATATTGCCTCCCATTTACTAAAAAGCCATCACTATTTTAAGCCCTTAGAGATGATTAGTGAAATTGTAACGATTTTCAATTATTTGTAGGTATGGCTCCAAAGTAATATATTAGTAAATATCTAAATAAACCAAAAAAAGACCTTTAAAATTATGAATATAGGAACTAGAATAACACACCACTAGATATTAAGTTGATAAAAAATCTATCAAACTACCACTGTGNATAAGTTACATGTATATCATCATAAATTGAGCTAATTTTAGATCCCAGAACTGATTTATAAGACATAAGGATTCAAACAGATGGTAAATAATTCTATCTCTGTATCACCGACAATTATAGGAATAAATAAACTACATCCTTTGCAGCTATTTTAAGAGTAAGTAAAATATGAAGTACATTAAGATATATTATTGACAGGGAGTTTAACATATCGAGTCATCATCAGGCATTAATACATATAAAGTAAAAATTACTTCATGTAGTGAAGTAGGCTAATACTTAATCTCAGTTAAAAATTATATTACATAAACACATTTAGTTGAAGTATGAGAGCTTGAATTATATTGTTTCGAACATATGTTTCTAGTCGTGAGGTATTTATCCATAAATATAACCTAAGCATATTTGGACATTGTGTGCATTAATATTTAATTTAGAGAAGAAGTAGCCATCAACACAAGATATCCATTTAGTCAGATTAGCATTATTAGGAGCAGTAAAACAATATCATATAAGATAAAAATGGTAGTTATAAAAAGCAGACAAGTATTATTTGAGACATATTTTTTTACTTGTCTCAATGGTCTCAATATTTATTTCTCAAATTAGGGATAACTAGTATCTTCCGTAAATTTGAAGTAAGGATGAGGAGTCTTAATGTTTTTTGGAAAATTTAAAGATATGCTTCAAAACAGACTTTACAAAATCGACAATGGAAGCATTGCCAGCAAATTTTATATTATTATCAGGAGATGTTGTATAAACATAATGTGATATAGATTTATTACAATTTTTCCGATGAACAGGTTGATTTGCAATTTCGGTAAGTAATTGACAATGAGTCAATCTGGATTCATTTAACATAAATTTGAACCAACTTAAACTATATTGCCTCCCATTTACTAAAAAGCCATCACTATTTTAAGCCCTTAGAGATGATTAGTGAAATTGTAACGATTTTCAATTATTTGTAGGTATGGCTCCAAAGTAATATATTAGTAAATATCTAAATAAACCAAAAAAAGACCTTTAAAATTATGAATATAGGAACTAGAATAACACACCACTAGATATTAAGTTGATAAAAAATCTATCAAACTACCACTGTGATAATACAAAAAAGTCAATCATAATAGTGATTATTCAAGTCCATTTGTGCATACTGTAAATTACAAAGCATGCACAGTTACAATCAAATAATTGATTTAATACAGTTACATTAAATTTATGCTTTGTATAAATAATAAGTTTAAATTTAACTCCTTAAATAATGTTTAAAATTAAAACTTTAAAAAAACACAAAAGGTAATTTAAAATAATTGTGGAAATTTCAGTGATAAAACATAGAAATAAGTAAATCTTAAGAGTTTTTAATTAAAGTAGGCATACTTTACAAAGTTTATTAAGTATAAAACTAATATTAATAAAAAAATCAATATGTGCGTTGACCCTGACTATAATAATCTCGCAAGTTAAATACGTTACTAATAGGGATCGTTTTAACCAAACCCTTTTGCCTTCGTGTGGCATCTTATGGTCAGTCATATGTCCCGCCTTAACCAATTTCTCACTTTTTAGTACTTCAAATATTTACGACAATCTTATCTTTAGAAAATTTATATAAAGAAATTGCAAGTTGAATAAGTTGACCATTTTATATTTATTAGAAGTTAAATAAAATAAATTATGGATTTTAGTGAGGATTAATAAAACAATTAGTTAGGTTTAGATAAAGATGTCTCTAAAATATCATTTTTGTCAATTTTAAAACATCTTAGCTCATTGAATTAAATGTTCATCATAGAGATGGAAGTCATTTTCAAAAGAACAGGTTTTTATAAAAATGTCAAAAATTTTTAAAGGATTCTACCAAAAGAAGAAAAATTATTTAAATAAGAAAAAGAAATAGAAACAATTATAAAACGTAAAATACTGAAGAAATAATAAATGACAAAGTCACATTCAAAGAAAAAACTATTTGCATCGAATAATTACGATTCAGCTCTACATAATAATTTAGTTGATTCAAAATATTCTTTTCATTCAGAAATATCGTTGAGCTATAAACAAGCTAATAAATTAATTTTTAGCAAAATTGTGTAATTAGAAGATACTTTAGAAAATAAAGATTTAGCAGAAAAATTAAGAATAATCAAATAATATTTGAATCAATGTATAATTCATAACAAATGATATTTTAGCATTCACTCTAGATAAAATGAACAGATTTGAAGAAACCTTGAAAAATTATGATTGAGCAATACAAAAAAATCCAGAAGATTCAAGATACTATTGTAATAAAGGTATAATTCTAAATGGAAGATATTTTAGCTAATACTCTAGAATAAATGAACAGATTTCAAGAAGCTGTGGAAAATTATTTTTCGGCAATACAAAAAAATCCAGAAGATTCTGACTATTATAATGGCAAAGGTATAATTCAAAATTTGATGATACTTAAGCAATAACTCTAGATAAAATGAACAGATTTGAAGAAGCTTTGTATAATGATGATTCAGCAATACAAAAAACCCAGAAGATTCAAGATATTATTTTAATAAAGGTATAATTCAAAATGGATGATATTTTAGCTAATACTCTATTTTTATATAATTTACAATGACGTTAGAATAAATGAACAAATTTGAAGAAGCTTATGATATAATAATTTAGAAATTTCCACAAACCTCCACCTAAAATTAAGTAAAAGGTATAATAGTATAATAACGAATATTTAGCTCTCACTTTAATTCTAATTACTCGAATTCGACAAGCATAATAAATTCTCTGAAATTTATTTACCTATTTGAAATTAAAATGTTATATTCAATTAAAGCTCAATAATTTACAATTTGTTCTTTTATTCCCGTTTTGCAAATCTTTCAATTGGCTCAACTGTGGAACTATTACTATTAATTTTATTTCATTAACTGCTGATTAAAATAGCGCAATAACTAAAATTTTCATTTATCTAGTTAAAAATTAAAAAGTACAAATTTTTTGAAATTAAACAAATAAAAGAGAACATTATTATTGCCTTTTCACATTTCATTTTATCTGCTTTTGAATTCCTATCTATATCATTTATAAATATTTTGATTTATTTTATATGCCCAATTAACCATAACAATACTCACTATATTCTTAATGATTCAAATTATAATTGAATTGTATATTTTTTAACAAAATTTTTCAACTATTCTTTGTTTTTAATATTTTTATATTTGAGGGTTTATTGAATATTGCTTCCCTAAAACATTTAATTGGTGTTCTTGGAACTCTTGTATTATATTTTCATCCATATCCACAAGCCCAAAACCCCCTGCTTGTTAATCTATAGATGGATGTTGTCAGGACATCTACTTATAGTGCGCAAGCTCTAATTTCCTTTGTCTTGATCAATTAAAGGGTACAAGATATTAGCTCAATTTATTGTTTAACATCCATGTACTTTGTTCATCATGGTATTTACAAAGATAGCTTTAATTGTGCAATCTCATCTAATACTTTTGTCATATAGAAATCCTCATGTATGTTTGAAAATACATGGCTATATTAGACATATTAAAATTATGTGAATCCTTAAAATTTAGTTTTTAAAATAAATTAAAATTGCTCTTATATTTCAGGCCAAATAACTATACACAAAAAATGTGCATATTTGTAACTTATATTTTTTCTGCTTTTTCAATCATATCTCATGCGTTTAGTACCTGTTAATCATGCATTATTATCATATACTTGAAGCATTACAAATATGATGCAATTTGCAAAACATCCTTAATCACGAGCCGGTTGAAATTTGGATGAATTCCTCAAATAATGCTCGTTCTAAATGTCCCTCGTAATCTACCTTGTGTTAAATATTCCCTAATTTTTGATTATTTAATCCTTAAAAAATCTCTTTATTTAAAATTTAATATAGGAAATTTGTGCCAAAAATTCCATATTTTTAAGTTCCCATCAATTAGTCAAATCATATTGCAGTACAGTGATATCAATATCGATAGAATCGCTCATCAAAGACAACCAGCTGCTAGTTTTCAGAACAACACAATGATTAGAATTATAGTTAAAAGTAATACAAACTTAAGAATGGCCAAGCAACTTACGGAGTAGAGTATTTATTGTATGTGGAGAGGATTAGTAACAGAATTACATTTATCCATAATAACAAAAAATTCGATTTCAATACTATTTTCTTTTTACAATATGATGAAATCAAACTATTCTTATGCCTTTTAAATTTAATAATGTTAATTTCAAAAAATTGGATTTAAGGCTGTTACTATAGCATGATAGAATTATAAAAAATTTAACATTTTTCCTTATCGCATAATTATATGAAGTTCTAGTATGCTTGATGATCTTGAAAAAGTAAAAGAGCGATGACAGATTGTAATATTATAGAATCCCTCAGAATATCTTAAAATAATTTGATAATTTTTTGCAGTCAGTCAGATCAAAAGAAGAGTAGTTTGATAGGAAAATTGGTCGAAATTTTCAGATAGAAATATAATTAAAAAGTTGATTTAATATTTTACAATTAGTTGTTTGATATAAATGTATAATGAAATTAAGTTTGGTTTAAATGAACTAATAATCTTGATCATATTTCAACAGGAGAAATCAATTTTAGAAAATGAGATATAGAAGTATTAAAGTATTCGGAATTAAAATATGTTAAACTTGAGAAGACAGTCCAAACAGAGTTGAATTCCATTAAGAAATAAATAGAAACTCAATGATTTATATAGGTATAATCTTTTAAAAGCTAACAAAGCCTGTTTAGCATGGGGCATTGAAATCAGACTACCATTTATGTTCAAGTCTTTGATTGAATAAATTATTTCTATTGATCCAAATTATTAAATGATAATGCCCTCCAACCATAAATTGAAAATATATATTAAGAAAGCCTTTGAAGATCTAGAAAATCCATTTGTTCAATAAGAAATATTATGGAGATAAAAGGAACAATTCAGTGATGGAGTTGGTTACAGTTGGAGATGGAATTTTCGAAAGAGCTAATCAATTAGGCTCAGATTAAGAATTCTCTCAAGCTTCAGCTACTTATTCCTAGAGATAAGGAATAATATTGGTTCAGATAAGTTTATACTTCTGCTTTTCCTATTGATAGCTCTACCGAAAATGTATCTATTAACAATTTATGCACTCATGAAAATCCCTCAATAGGAGACAAAATTAAAGATGAAAGCACCAAAGTATAGAACCACAATTAACGGTGATATTCTATAAAAATTAGTACATTAAATAGTTTGCGAAATTTTAATTTAATATTAATTAATAATTAGAACTATTTTATTTAAAATAAAAAAGAAGGGAGCATCAGGGTTCGCACCTGAGACCTACAGATCTGCAGTCTGCTGCTCTGCTACTGAGCTATACTCCCTAATTGACTTTTATTAAAACATTATAGTTACATATAGATATTGCTTTTATTTTAGCATTGTTTTCTTATGTAAAATTATTCTCATTGGCATTATTTATGGCTTCACCTGTAACTTTAAAATAATAAAAATTTACATTAACTTATTATGAATATAACGAACAGGTATCTATCTATACAAGGAAACAAATAGACTATTCAATAGTAAAAATACTAAAATAAAAATCTCTTAAAACTAAATTTTTAACGATTTTAACAAATAATCCACTAAAATGATTTTAAACTGCTATTAGAAGAAGAAATTCGGCCCTTCTTTCAATCAATTTAATTTTTTTATGTCATAATATTCTTAAAATGCAAAGTTTAGTGATAATGAAAAAATTGCTTGAATACTATTTATTTGATCTTGAGATAGTTAATGAGCCTTTGAGATTTTGAAATCAGAAATTAACTTAATAATTGTAAGGTTTTAATTAAACTTCCAGTGAAATATCATAAAGTTATTTGCATTAAATATTGGAAGCTTGATATATAGAAAATCATGGCATATTTAGGCTCGAGTTGATTGCAATTTAAATATAGATAAATAATATAATTAGATTATTTTTTATTAAAATCCTTACAATTAGATTTGATCTTCCTTAATTGTAATTAAGGAAACTCAAATTCAATTTTCAAAAATTATAATATGTAAATCAGATTCTTTTTATTGAGTACTCAACAAAAAATCTTTTGTAGATATAACTCCATCATTATTAATTTCTCCAATTCTAAATTTTAAATACTCCATATAATCCTTAACGATTTATATCTTTTTTAATAATCCTTTCAGTATATTTTTAACTTTGTGAAGTGGAGATCAAAGAAGATCTCCGTTCGCAGAAGATACTAAGGCAATAAAACTTGTTTATTTATTCTAAACTAATTTATTTTGGCTTTTAGTAGTTAACTCAAATATATTACTTATATTGTTAAGATTATTTCATCTATTCAATTACAATATATTATTTCTTTTCTACACGTTCTATTATATTATATATCTAAAAGTATTCATTATTATCTCAATTTCATAAAAACTAATCATTTTATTATTCAATTTTCCAACCTCTCAAACATCTTCTATCTCCATAGATTAGATTCCCTATTTTTGTTAATTTAATTAAGTAGAATCTATCATTCCATTTGATTTTTGTTCTAAAGGGTTTGGGGCTCTCTTTTCTTCTTATTTTATTGACTCATAGACCATATTTTTATTGATGGTTTTACTGAATTGTTAGTAGATATTCGCTTCTCTAATTAAGAGTCAATCTTGTCTCAATAAATACTCTTGCCCCTGATTTCGAGCAATTTAACTTCAGGTTTAAACTTACTATTCATTTTTTCTGGTGATTCCAAATATAAACAAGGACCATTACAACCTAATCAGAAATCTTGATCACCTGAGTATTGAGATCGGCTATTTCTCTGAGTGTATAGATTATTTTATTTTGTTCAACCAAAACCAAAAGGCACTTCATTAATATATTATCAAAGCTAACATCCAATTTACATTTCAAAAATTTAACCAGACTATTTTTAATTACAGAATCTATCAATTATGATTAGTGTAATGTATTCTAAAACTTAGTTGTTGATTATTATGAACCAAATAATTGCTACTCAAACTCAACTTAATTAATGTAGAATTATCATTTCCATTATTCCTAGCTTCATACTGGTAAAATAAGTTTATTTCTGAAACCCACTATCTAATATATCATCCAAATCTAATACAGATGTTATTTAAATATATCAGATTCATTTGATTCCTTATTTATCCATTGTATAAAATACTAGATTTAAGTAGTTTTCAACTATTATAAAAGTAAATTAATGGTAAGGAGGAGAGTCAGAATATGAAAATTCTAACATATTTAAAATAAAAGTTTGATGATGAAATTCAAATCGCTCAACTATGTCGAAGTTTCATTAATTAATCTCGAAATGTTTCTATTTGATTGCATTCCAATACTTGATTTTATGAATGGCATGAAATTCTCATATTCACAAAATTTTTAGATGCCAAGCATACAATAAGATTATTTTATACAATTTCCCACTTTATAAGACATAAAATTTCAAGAGTAAATTCAGGTTAAAATTCAAATTATCAAATATTTATAAATTACAAAGCAATTGACTCATTTTTTATACTTAAGTATTAATCACAGAGATTAATCAAAAATAAAAATGAAAAAGTAATATGTTGGTAATTATTTAATGTCAATTTCCCAGTTATGAACATAAAATTCTGCATTTGCAATTTAAAGAAAAAGCTTAAGAAGAATCAAGTTTAAAGAAGGATTAATTGAATTTATAAGATAAAGAAGATTAATAATTGATAATAAGAAATTGAGAGAAGTGAAAAAGTAGGCATAAAATAATGATCTAAAATCATCAATAAAAAGAAATCTAAAAAGAGAAAATCAATAACTACAAAATATTTAGTAAGAGCGCAGAATAGAAAGGCATTAAAAATCATATTCATTTCTAATGATTAAACCCTATAAAGATAATTTAACTAGGAATTCAGGATAAAGGGTATGGATTAGTAGAGTATGAAGATGAGATGAATTTGTTATTAGGGATTGGAGCCTGGCAAAAAAGAATAAAATTATCATAAAAATTAAGAAGTTGTAGAGCCTATTAAGTTAAGAATTTAGAGTGTTTTAATTTGGAGAGAAAATAATGTTATGTCATTTCGAGGCTTTAAATCACCTTGCCTATATTAAAAATGATATTAGGAAATTTTTCTCAAAATTTGAATGTAAGAGTTGGAAAATGAGATTTTTATTAAAATTGTTCATCAAAAAATTTCAATGAGTAATTTTTTTAAAGTAAATTAAATCTTTCTAGTTGCTAATTTCTTCATTATATTCCTGAAAATCATAGTTTATTTTAATGATATTGCAGCAAACTAAATAGATTATCTAGTTCAAAAACAAATAATCTTTAAATCAATATTACTCTATTTGCAATAAAAATTACATCAAATAAAAGGGGAATAGGAAAATTTTATTTAGATGATTTTTTTGTAACTATTTTTAGAAAGATTTATAAATGAAACTAAAATCAATATCAATACGGAGTTAAAATCTTTATATGAATTACATTAATTCAAAATAATTAACTTGCAAGTCAATATTTTATTTTAACTCTAATCTAACTATAATAATATGTTTTGAGCACTTAGACTTAAATGAAATACAGTTAAAATTATGAATTGGAATACAATACGGTCTTTTAATTTAATTTGAGCATTTCTTGTAAAGAGTCAGTAATAATAAGCCAAGGTCAGACTCAGAAAATCTCACAACCTACGGTTAACTGTCTTATTTGATAAGATTTGCGAATACAATACCAGAAAGTTGTTTATTCTCTATTATTTATTATTCCCTTAAACATTTTCTTAAAAATAAATTTAATTTTCCAAATTTGATTTAATTATTAAACTGTTCAAAGTTACATTGTTTATAGGTTAAAATGCTTGTATTATNATCAAAAATAAAAATGAAAAAGTAATATGTTGGTAATTATTTAATGTCAATTTCCCAGTTATGAACATAAAATTCTGCATTTGCAATTTAAAGAAAAAGCTTAAGAAGAATCAAGTTTAAAGAAGGATTAATTGAATTTATAAGATAAAGAAGATTAATAATTGATAATAAGAAATTGAGAGAAGTGAAAAAGTAGGCATAAAATAATGATCTAAAATCATCAATAAAAAGAAATCTAAAAAGAGAAAATCAATAACTACAAAATATTTAGTAAGAGCGCAGAATAGAAAGGCATTAAAAATCATATTCATTTCTAATGATTAAACCCTATAAAGATAATTTAACTAGGAATTCAGGATAAAGGGTATGGATTAGTAGAGTATGAAGATGAGATGAATTTGTTATTAGGGATTGGAGCCTGGCAAAAAAGAATAAAATTATCATAAAAATTAAGAAGTTGTAGAGCCTATTAAGTTAAGAATTTAGAGTGTTTTAATTTGGAGAGAAAATAATGTTATGTCATTTCGAGGCTTTAAATCACCTTGCCTATATTAAAAATGATATTAGGAAATTTTTCTCAAAATTTGAATGTAAGAGTTGGAAAATGAGATTTTTATTAAAATTGTTCATCAAAAAATTTCAATGAGTAATTTTTTTAAAGTAAATTAAATCTTTCTAGTTGCTAATTTCTTCATTATATTCCTGAAAATCATAGTTTATTTTAATGATATTGCAGCAAACTAAATAGATTATCTAGTTCAAAAACAAATAATCTTTAAATCAATATTACTCTATTTGCAATAAAAATTACATCAAATAAAAGGGGAATAGGAAAATTTTATTTAGATGATTTTTTTGTAACTATTTTTAGAAAGATTTATAAATGAAACTAAAATCAATATCAATACGGAGTTAAAATCTTTATATGAATTACATTAATTCAAAATAATTAACTTGCAAGTCAATATTTTATTTTAACTCTAATCTAACTATAATAATATGTTTTGAGCACTTAGACTTAAATGAAATACAGTTAAAATTATGAATTGGAATACAATACGGTCTTTTAATTTAATTTGAGCATTTCTTGTAAAGAGTCAGTAATAATAAGCCAAGGTCAGACTCAGAAAATCTCACAACCTACGGTTAACTGTCTTATTTGATAAGATTTGCGAATACAATACCAGAAAGTTGTTTATTCTCTATTATTTATTATTCCCTTAAACATTTTCTTAAAAATAAATTTAATTTTCCAAATTTGATTTAATTATTAAACTGTTCAAAGTTACATTGTTTATAGGTTAAAATGCTTGTATTATAGTTGAGTCTACTTATTTAAAAAGAAAAGCAAATTTATTTCATTTATAACAGCTACTAGTGTACTAGTGTTATATATATAAAAATAACTAGCGTATTATTATATAATCATAAATTTTGAATTTCTAATGTTTTTAAAAATATATTATAATTCTTAACTATTTTGCATTTTTACAATAATTAAATTCTGTTTAAATAAAAATAATTAAATAAAATATTGATGACCAAATAATATAAGAATTAGGTATAACCAGGTGACTGTTAAAAAGTATTTTGTGAATTATTAATTTTAATAATATTTTAAGAGAAATTGATATTATAAAAAAAACAACCAAGAATAGTTAAGAGGATAAGGAGTTTGTAAATTTTGCTACAAATTCTATAAAGATCATTTTGATTGTAAGTTTTGTTATATATATGTATTAATCAAATTTCTAAATGCAGAAATTTACAAGTTAGAATTAATATATATTAAACCTTTGTTGATTCATAAATTTCTTCATAAATTATTTTTGTTTTCATGTATAATTGGCTTTTAAGAATCTGCCTTATTTTAACCTATTGTATATGTAAGAACGTCTTATTTTATTTTAGTAACTTGGAGTTGTGATCCAGGATAATTTAATGATAATGGTTCATGTTTGAGTTGTGTATCTAATTGCTTAAGTTGTTCAAACAATTCTACATGTGACACATGTAAGCCAGGGCATTATAATGTTGGTGGAATGTGTGATCCTTGTCAAATTGGATGTTAAACTTGTAGTCTAACTTCATGTTTATGCCCTCCTCCTTATATATAAAAAAACTGCTCAGTTTGCTTTCCTGGGTATTTCAAATCTGGCGTAAATTGTTCTGTCTGCCCAACATATTGTGCTACTTGCACATCTAATTCTGTATGTTAAAGCTGTAGGGATCACTATATACTTATTGGAAATTCCTGCTCAGTTTGTGATACTTCCTGCAAGAATTGTTAAACTACCCTTACTACTTGTACATCATGTGATCCTGGCAAATATCTTAATGGGTCATCGTGTCTTCCTTGCTCATCACCTTGTTCCGAGTGTATTAATAGCTCAACCTCCTGCACTGTTTGCATTGGCAGCAATAGTACGGCTGTCAATTATAAATGTGTTTGTGATGACGGATATTATTCTGATGAATCAGATTAATGTTCGTCTTGTCTCGCACCATGTTCAAAGTGCGAAAATACAGAATATAATTGTACAGATTGTGTCTCTACTTTTACATTAAGTTCTATCTAACATTATCAATGTGTTTGCTCCTTTGGCTATTTTTAAGTTGATTCTATAACTTGTAATAAATGCATAAGTCCATGTTTAACTTGTGAATATAATTAAAATCACTGTTTAACTTGCTTGGATCCTAATTAAACAGTCAATAGTATATATGAATGCATTTGCAACCAAGGTTGGATTTTAAGCATTGATGGGATCACATGCATCCAATGTTAATAGCCATGCCTTACTTGTGTAGATACAATAAACAAATGTACTGAATGCAAAGATTAATTACATTAATTACTTGAAACTTGTGAATGCTAACCGGGATGGATAAATGATATTAATTATTTTTGCATTCCTTGTTCATAACCATGTAAGACTTGCTAACATTTTACATTCTAATGTTTATCATGTTTAGATATTAACCATGAGCTAAACAATCTATCTCAATGTGTTTGTAAATCTTCCTATTATCCTGATACTCTAAGAACATGTGCAAAATGTTCAGAGTCTTGCAAAGAATGTGATCAAAATGGATGTATCAGCTGCATTAGTGTAGATCAAATCTTAGATACAAATAATAACTGTGTTTGTAGTCCTGGTTTTGTTTTAGATGGTACCCAATGCATTCTATCTTTGTGTGGGGATTTAAAAGTAACTTTAGATGAAGAATGTGATGATGGAAATATGATCCCATATGATGGATGTTACGAATGCAAATTTTCATGCTCATATTAATGTTTTGATTGTATTAACGGGGTATGTTATGGTTGTTTTGATACAGGTTGGATACTGAATAAAATTAATATTTGTACTCCTTTATGCGGAGATGGCATCGTTATTGAAGAATATGAATAATGTGACGATGGCAATGACATCCCTTACGATGGTTGTTATTAGTGTTAATTTGAATGCCAAGAAGGTTGTATTCAATGCCAATCAAACCAATGCCAAAAATGTCATCCATTATATGTATTAGACATTAAAACAGGAAACTGTTTAAAATAAAACAATGATAATGATGACTAACTTGAGTAAATGATAAATTTCAGATGTGGTGAAAATCATATACTTATTAATAATATGTGTGTTCATAAGTGTGGCAATGGATTAAGAGATAGTCAATATGAAGAATGTGATGATGGAAATTTAAATGGAGGAGATGGGTGCTCTTCTTTTTGCCTGATAGAGAGTTCATACTAATGTATAAATTAGGAGAATTCTTTAAGTTTATGTACATATATTAAAGCACCTTAAATGAATTTGAATGTACTTACTAATAATGGCGATTCTCTTCAAGTTGTAGAGTTGACTTTTACCTAATAAGTCTAAGTGGAAGAAGCTGTAAATTTTGAAGATATTATAGCATTCACTATTACACCTTAAACTCAATACAAATTAACAATAGATTATATTTCAAATATAACAATTTAATTAAGCAATTCTAAATATTAAATTTAAATTGAATTCATTGAACCAGTAAAAAATCCTATTTTAGAAGTTGTTATGTAGAAAAATACTATATATAACTCATTAAAATTAGGCTTAAATGAAAATGAAAAAAAAATTAATCTTGGAGCTCCCTTTGTGCTTCCAGAAACTACTAAGAAGTAATTAAGTAGGGTAGTTTAACTTAATGATGCAATGATATATTCAATGGCTGGTGTGTCAAGTTTAGCTTTAGTAACAAGAAATGCAATTGTATTTTTTAATTTACTCGATTTATTATAATCATTTTCATATTTGAGGTTTTTGAAATCATAATTTCCACCAAATTTCAGAGATTTTTTGAATACTTTTACTAAGATATCTTTGCAACCAATTTTAAATTATTTGAAAGTAGATTAGTTATTGGAAGATTTAAATGGAAAAAATAAATCAGATTAGGTTAATAGTAACTTATAACCAGACTACGAAATCATTTTAAATAAACCATATTTGTTCAATGCAAAAAGTTGTTATTTTTCTGTCCTTGCCTCTATTTTAACCTATTTACTTTATTGTGCTTTAGTTTCAAATACTTTAATTAATTTTATTTTTAAATGGTTTTAAAATTATCCATAAAATAGTAAAGCCATTAAACTTATCTATCTATTTTAAAAATATATTCAGAAAAAGTTTTAGAAATTAAAAATTGAATATTTTTCTTTTGGGATTTTCCAAGTTTATTAGGCTATTCTGCATTAATTAACGTTCAGTGTATTGTTATAATTTCCCAGTTATACATTTGATTCTCCATTTGCAATTTTCAACAGTGTTAATGCTATTTTAGGCTTAGGGTTCATTATAATAGCAAACTTTCCTTTACTTTCAATAACAACAATAAAAATAAAAAATTACAGAAAATGGAAGTATTTCTATTCTGAATCTAAAACTTAATTTTGGGCAGGTTAATTTAAGTCCTTTTAAATTTACAAAATCTTATTTTATATATTCATAATTACAAAACTAATCAATTATCCAGAAGCATAATCAATCCTACTTTCTATGCAATCATTGTTTTTTTTGATATACATAATTAGATTCAAGCCTTTAAAATCTGTTTTTGAACTTACTAAATTAGTTTGTAAAGAGTTTGTATTTATGATTATTTCAGGGACTTTTTTATTATATAGCTTTGAATTCAGCCAAGAAACTTTTATACTTATTGGGTGGATTCATATTAGTTTATTTTGTGCAATAATGGCATCAAATTTATTTATAGACATATTGTAACAAATAAAAAAAAAGTATGAAACATAATTATTAAAAAAACAAAAAGCAGGAAGTGAGTTGGAATCTTAATTGAAATTGTGTAATGTGCAAGGATTTGCTTTAAATGGGTATGATTAATAAATATAAAAATGATATATAATTATAATTAAGTTAGTTTCAATTAAAATTCTATAGAATATAATTATTTTATTTGATATCCGAAAATATATTTTAGTGTTACAATAAGAGTTGATTTAAAATATAGGAAAAACATAATTTTTTTCTTTTACTGCTTTAATGAATTTAATATTGTCGATCTAGTAGTAATCGACAAATTAGATAAGTTAAATTTCGAAAATGTTAATTATTTTATTACCTTATATTTGTTAAATTCAGGAGAAGATAAACTTAGAGCACTTCGTCCTTTCAACAGTTGGCCAACATTTTAAGGCCTTTTTGACGTCTTCAACTATGTACTAGGGGATTTGTGTAAATTTAAAGCTCCTAAAGAGTTGAAATGTAGACTAAAACAGAGAGTAAAGAGATTTCTTAGATCCCTTAAAAGACATCATTCTAGGATGGGTTTAATTACCTGGTCAGTTGTGTAATTAAAGTCTTCATTTGATTCTAGGGAATAGAAATACGAATTGATAAATCCAAAAATAAACGTGGGAAAATGACAAAATTTAAAGGGTTTATTCAATAAATGTAGAGTTGAGAAAAAAAACTGAGACTTTTAGAGGAGCCCCACGTTTTGAAACCAAAGTGAACACATCCAAAAGATAAAGGGAATAATAAAGAGATAACAAATAATAAGAGTTGCCTTAAAGAGCCTACAACTATTATTCCCTATCACAGCTCTCAGTATGTTATCCTTTCTAGGAATTTTCAAGTGAAGGAGCGTCATTAAGCACAATAAGACCAGATTGCAGTATCAAACTCCTGGATTTGGTAAAAAGATCAGAATTACCTTCTTTGTTTTCTAAATCTTGCTCCAAGATGTTCTTGAGCATCGTATTATTGATAGAGATTGTTATTTATTTAGACCAGTTATGTGATGCCGTCAATCTGGAAATCCTTAACTAATTCACTCTTTTTATAGTTGCTTAGTAAGGATTCATTCATTACGATTAAGTGTTCGTTTGCGACAAATTGGATGCATCTCCTCCTCTTGACTACTTTCTGAATCCGAGGGAGATATTGTTGACTACTATTTTAATAAGTATCTTAAATCCTCTCACTTTTATCACAGATATTTTATTCCAAACTTTAAATAATTTAATTGAATTTTAAGATGCTACCTTGGCTCAATTTCAGCTAAAGATAATAATATCTATCCGTTCAAATATATGGCTTCTGCATCATTATATGAGATTTTTGTGAACAAAATACTATAATTAAATATCTTGCAGAACTAAAGTANCATTGTTTATAGGTTAAAATGCTTGTATTAACAGCTACTAGTGTACTAGTGTTATATATATAAAAATAACTAGCGTATTATTATAAAAATGATATATAATTATAATTAAGTTAGTTTCAATTAAAATTCTATAGAATATAATTATTTTATTTGATATCCGAAAATATATTTTAGTGTTACAATAAGAGTTGATTTAAAATATAGGAAAAACATAATTTTTTTCTTTTACTGCTTTAATGAATTTAATATTGTCGATCTAGTAGTAATCGACAAATTAGATAAGTTAAATTTCGAAAATGTTAATTATTTTATTACCTTATATTTGTTAAATTCAGGAGAAGATAAACTTAGAGCACTTCGTCCTTTCAACAGTTGGCCAACATTTTAAGGCCTTTTTGACGTCTTCAACTATGTACTAGGGGATTTGTGTAAATTTAAAGCTCCTAAAGAGTTGAAATGTAGACTAAAACAGAGAGTAAAGAGATTTCTTAGATCCCTTAAAAGACATCATTCTAGGATGGGTTTAATTACCTGGTCAGTTGTGTAATTAAAGTCTTCATTTGATTCTAGGGAATAGAAATACGAATTGATAAATCCAAAAATAAACGTGGGAAAATGACAAAATTTAAAGGGTTTATTCAATAAATGTAGAGTTGAGAAAAAAAACTGAGACTTTTAGAGGAGCCCCACGTTTTGAAACCAAAGTGAACACATCCAAAAGATAAAGGGAATAATAAAGAGATAACAAATAATAAGAGTTGCCTTAAAGAGCCTACAACTATTATTCCCTATCACAGCTCTCAGTATGTTATCCTTTCTAGGAATTTTCAAGTGAAGGAGCGTCATTAAGCACAATAAGACCAGATTGCAGTATCAAACTCCTGGATTTGGTAAAAAGATCAGAATTACCTTCTTTGTTTTCTAAATCTTGCTCCAAGATGTTCTTGAGCATCGTATTATTGATAGAGATTGTTATTTATTTAGACCAGTTATGTGATGCCGTCAATCTGGAAATCCTTAACTAATTCACTCTTTTTATAGTTGCTTAGTAAGGATTCATTCATTACGATTAAGTGTTCGTTTGCGACAAATTGGATGCATCTCCTCCTCTTGACTACTTTCTGAATCCGAGGGAGATATTGTTGACTACTATTTTAATAAGTATCTTAAATCCTCTCACTTTTATCACAGATATTTTATTCCAAACTTTAAATAATTTAATTGAATTTTAAGATGCTACCTTGGCTCAATTTCAGCTAAAGATAATAATATCTATCCGTTCAAATATATGGCTTCTGCATCATTATATGAGATTTTTGTGAACAAAATACTATAATTAAATATCTTGCAGAACTAAAGTATTATAACTAAATATCTCGTCTATATCTAATCTTCAACTATCCAGCAAAAATATATCACTAAAAATCATATTAATTTTTAGATTCTTTAAAGCAATTGCTAACAGATGCAAAGCATTCAGCTCATCATCTATCAGAAGTTTAGTTGTAAAAAAGTGTGAATAAGACATAATTAACATGAGATATTATTGATTTTAGATAAAATAATGGATGATAGCGAGATACACTTATTAAAACATATTTGTCGGAATCAGATTTTTGTCAGAATCAAGTTAAGATGGTAACTGAAATCAAATATATGAATAATCCTTTCAATCAACTAATTGCTCTTAAATTATGAAAAATATACTCAGAAAAGTTGTCCATATTAGAACAATAAATATCGTAGTTAATGGGACTCACCGCTGTATAGTTTTATTAAAAATGCTATGAGTTTGGAGTATATTGTTGTCATTCTTACCCCAAATAGCCTATATTTATGTTATTTTTCTTAAGTAGGGATTTTCTTTTTAAGGTTGCTTTCCTCCTAGATGAAGTGCCTCCATATGCAGCCGCACTTGTATTTCCTGACTGATGGTCATGAACATAAAAAAATCACACTTGACAAGCATTACAGATTTACTTCCATAAAATCAGTTTGATGCTTATTTCCTGCTCTGGCTATAGAGGCATCTTTGTGACTTTTAATTTTAGATTACATAACCAAGCTGGGACATATAATAACGTCTCAATCTTTTTTTGCCTTATCAATTTTCCCAAATACTTTCTTTTTGTTTTTTCTTGTCAAAAAAGTTTAATTTTCAATAATTGGTTTGGATTTTGTCTTAATCAATAAATTAACCGAAATCCTTGTATTCAGAGGCTGTTTCTAATCTAGAAATCCTTTAACGTTAAAATCGATAAGTTGAACCAATTAAATCATCTAAGACAAAGATAGGAATTTGATTGGATTAATTAAGTTAGGAGAAGTAAGTGCTATAAAGTATTATTGATTTTTGTCATAGATTCTACTTATGGGCTAACTTTTTTAGTTATTCTACTTGAACACTCTGAGCTTTAGCATTCAAACACATCCATTCTTCCTATGTGTTTGGATATTTTTCAAGTAGCTCTTTTTTGATCATCATCAAAACTTCACCTTTAGCATAAGCAATATTATTATTGAATTTGCGCATGACCAAAATATTCAATTTAGAAATTTAACAATCAGAAAATAAATATGTTATCAATTTAACTAGTATTTATCTATCGCTTCAAGACTAAGATAATCCATTAGTAGTTATATGAGCTCTTTATTACCCCGAAAACTTATCCAACGGAATTAAATGTACCATCTGAGGGCGAAGCACATTTCGGATAATAACGTTATTCATTTTATTATAAAAGATGAGACTCCAAAAATTCATTAATTTCAATGTAGCTCTTTGATCCTTCAGAGTTAGAATTTTCGCCTCCTCTAAGCTATCAAAACCTTGGCTGCATAAAACCTATAGCTGGGCATATAATTGTGTTATTGGTTACAGTTCGACCATGCACTTTAAGGAGCCGACGGTTTCATAATCTCCGAAAAAATCCGAGATTGAGAGATTCTAATCTACCGATACACCACCTCAAATTCTCGACGTGCTATAGCAACTCTCAATTAAAACTATGCTCCAAAAGCCCCTATTTTCTCATCATCATTTTTCGTAGCACCTGTCGAACTTAGCTTCTTATAAAAGGAAAGCTACTTAATTCTCCTCCATTTTCCTGAAAAGTGCAATCCATGTAAGACTTTAATTGTGTACAAGTCCTGAGAGGAAACCTACAAACTTAGCGTTGGTGTGTCAACAAGCATCCAACATAAGTCGTTGGTTGAAATGAGCATAACATGTTTAAGGCTCTGTATAAGCTCTCAGAAATGTCATATCTTTAACCGTCTGCATGCGTTAACTGATTTAGTAAAAAATTCAATAAATTATTATTGATTATTAATTTATAAGATTTATTTCATAAAATCACCAAATAATGTTATACCTTGAAATTCAATCAAACTTGACAGCCTCTATATATAGTAATTTGGAAGTAAGAAAGATACACTTGAAAAAGTCTAATCAAATGAAATTTACTATTCTTCCTTTTACAATTTGATTAACTTGTCAAAACTGTCTTCTCATTTCGTATATATGTTTAGAGTTTACTATGTCGAGGTTTTTCGGATATGTAACATTCTTGATTTTTACATGAATTAATTCATTTGAACAAATTTTAAGAAAAAATTTAGTAATACTTAATGCTCTTAAGTAAGTGGCGGTATTTATTTCACTAAGAAAAACCAAAATACTAATTAAATTGATATATATTTGTATGCTTAATGTATAATAATCAATTTTATTGTAATCCTATTGAGCGATCAAAAATGAAACTTCCCTTAGATTGGAACAATTATTTTAATTCAAAGCCTTAATAAGTTACAAATTCTCCTAGCAGGATAAAAGCTCCTAAAGATTCTAAATGAGGATATTAGGAAATTCGAAGGATAGTAATATGATAAAATGCTAAATGATAGCGAGAATAAATACCAGTTAATGGAGGAACTTTTGTTAAAAATATAGGGTATGTATTTAATGGCAGAATATCTCTGCAACAAGAGTTTTAAGGTAAGATTTAAAGTGCTGTTTTTATATCCCATAAATAGATAGCGGTATCATAACCACCAGATGCTAATATAGTACCATCAGGAGAGAAACAGACTGACATGACTAAATGAGTATGGCCATCTAATTTGGCTATTTACTATCCGGTTTTAACATCCCATAAACGGATTGATTTATCGCTACCACAAGATGCTAATTTATTCCCGTTTGGAGAGAAACAGACAGACTTTACATCTCTAATATGACCATCTAATTTTGATATTTATTATCCTTTTCTAACTTCCCATAGACGGATCGAGTTATCATAACTACCAGAAGCTAAGATTGTCCCATCAGGAGAGAAACAGACTGAATTAACACAACTAGTATGACCAATTAATTTGGCTTTTTATTATCTTTTTTTAACATCCCATAAGTAAATAGACTTATCCATAGTTCCAGATGCTAATTTGGTTCCATCAGGAGAGAAACAGATTGAATAAATAAAATCAATAGGACCTAATTTAGATGTTATTTATTTTGTATTAACATCCCATAAAAAGATAGACTTATCTGAACTACCAGATGCTAATTTAGAACCATCTGGAGAGAAACAAACTGATAGAACTTAATCTGAATGACCATCTAATATGGCTTTTTATAATCCTGTTTTAACATCCCATAAATGAATAGATTTATCATCACTCCCAGATGCTATTGTAATCCCATCAGGAGAGAAGCAGATTGAATTGACAACTCCAGCATGACCATCTAATTTAGCTTTTAGTAATCCTGTTTTAGCATCCCATAAACAAATAGACTTATCTAAGCTACCAGATGCTATTATAATCCCATCAGGAGAGAAACAGACTGAATTGACATCTCCGGTATGACCAACTAAGTTAGGCTATGAATATTTTTCTGTCTTAACATCCCATATGCGGATAGACTTATCCAAACTCCCAGACGCTAAGGTAGTTCCATCAGGGGAGAAACAGACTGATTACACTTAACTTGTATGACCCACAAATTTGGCTTTTTATTATATTTTTTTAACATCCCATAAACGAATAGACTGATCTAAACTGCCAGATGCTAATGTAGTCCCATCAAAAGAGAAACAAACTGACATAACATCCTTAGTATGGCCATATAATATGGCATTTTATTATCCTGTCCTAACATCTCTTAAGTGGATAGAGTTATCTTAACTACCAGATGCTAATGTAGTACCATCAGGAGAGAAGCAGATTGAATTAACACAATCTGAATGACCATCTAATTTGGCTTTTTATTATCCTGTTTTAACATCCCATAAACGAATGGAGTTATCTTTACTACCAGATGCTAATATAGTACCATCAAGAGAGAAACAAATTGAAGAAACTGTATTAGAATGACCATCTAATTTGGCTTTTTATTATCCTGTCATAACATCCCATAAACGAATAGACTTATCATCACTACCAGATGCTAAAGTAGCACCATCAGGAGAGAAATTAACAGAGCTAACATCATTTGTATGATCTTTTAGTTTAAATATGCACTTCTTTGTTTTTTTATTCCATAAATACACAATATTTCTGCTGCAATAGGCTAATGCTGTACCTTTAGGTGAGATGCAGACTGACTTTATCTTCCATCTACCTTATAATAAAATTTTTAATTTTCCTCTTTTAGCATCCCAAAAACGAATGGAATTATCATCGCTACTAGAAGCTACTGACTTACCATCTGTAGAAAACCAAATTGAGTTAACACTATCACTATGACCATTTAACTGCATTAACTCATTTATTCTTAAACTTTTCCATTTACACTTAATTAATTTGGCTCCACTCAAATTTATTCCGCTTATAATGACATTGTCGAATTCAGATTCACTCAAGTCGCACATGACAAAATTTCCTCCTATAATTGAAGTATTTTTTATTTTAATATTTACAAATGATTGTGCTCTTAAATCAACCTTCATTTCAACTAGCAAATGAAGAGAATTTGATCCACACTAAATGTATTTCTCATCTAAAGCAGTAAGATGAACTAAAAATTTTAATAATTATATGATCCTTCTATCCCAGGATATTTTTGTGATTACATCTTTTTTAATATCCTCATATTCATCTTACGAGTAATTCCGTTCATTAAAATTATGATCCCTAATTTTTTTGAGAATATCTGAAATTCTCTTTATGATATTCTGTCCAACATTGAGCTTCTATTCCTAATCCAATATTGAAGAATTATTTACTTATAATATATTTAATTAGGCTTGCCTTATATTTTGATCTTATGAGAGAAATTTTAGACAGTCCTAAACTTTCTCTTTTTTGAATATTTTAATAAGAATTGGTAAGATTTCCTCATCAAAAGCTTTAGATTAAGCCAAAATCATATACAAATCTTCATTTTGCTCATGGTAGCAACTCATTTTCTATTTATTAAATAATATTGAATATCTATTAATTTTTCTCAACAAATTTAGTTATAGAGAAGGAGGCATAATCATCAGAAAGAGAAATCACAATGTAGGCGGAATCTTAAAATATATATTATAGTAATCAAATTAATTTTTATGAGAATACTATTTTGAACAAGGTAGATCATTTTTTTCTTGTAAGAAAAGTTTGAAACTGTGTTTTAGTGTTTAAATCTTTCCAGACAATATTTAAATTGGTAAAATGAAATCAACTTTCCAGTCTCTCCCAAAAGAAAAACATATCCATTAAGTTTTAATATCAAATACACAGTTATTAATACTTATTTTGTTATTTAATTAAGCGGTGTTCACTTCATAAAGCAAATTATAGATGCTGGCTTTGATCAAGTATGTAGGTTTTTGACTGCTGAGGAAAGGAATATTTATTAGAGTTAGTATAACAAAAATAAAAATATAGAGTGTGCATTTCACGAGCATTTTTGGAAGCAGCCTTTCTAAAACTCTTTCCTATACTAATAAAAAGAGAGAAGGTTTGAAAAAATGCTATGACATACTGGCAAATTACAATGCGAAAAAGACATGAGAGCTAAATTTAAAGAAGAGCAGTGATCTCTAAAACTCCACAGAGACAAGTTAGTTATTGGGGGAAGGTGTTGTAGTTGTTGAAAGATTAAAAAAACAAAAAAATTAACAACAATTTATTGTTGTTTAGAAAAATAATTAGGTGTTGTGTATATAGTTTTTTTTGGATAAAAAACAAAATATATATTCAGAAGTCAGGGGATGGAATAAGGAGAATGGAAAACTTAGATTATATATTGTTTAACAGATTCTTATAGTTAATAAAGGGTGAATTTCAAGGAAAAGTCAAATTATATTTTGAAATATGCAAGAGCTTACATTTAATGATTTATTGATTTTTAATCATTAATTTAAGTATTTCAAAATATCAAATTTTGTTAAATTTATATTGCGATGGAAGGCAAAAAATTCCAAAAATGTCTACCGTTCAATCAAAACATATTCTAGAAGTGACTAAGTTCGTATCCTAGAGTTACAAATAATCCAATCATTTTTTTCAGGCCTTATTCCAAATAATATAGTCATATTCATCTAGTATCTTCGGTTTAGTAATGGTTCAGTAAAATAAATTCTCTTTGAGTATGTAAATATTTATAGTGAAAGTTAGTATTAACTATCATAGATCGTTAATTTTTTATCGTCTGGTGGTTACTATCTCGAACTAGTATTTAGATGAAGAATATTAGAATTTTTCTAAGTCCCCCTTTCTGAAACATATATTTAAGCCATTTGTAGTCCTTTGTCTTATCTATACCTTATGTTTCTTCTGCCAATATGATCTAGATTTTTTTAAGAATTTTAAATATCTCTGACTAACATCCTTATCCTTATAGATTCCATTTAGGAAATATAAAGTTGTTTTTCTCGATGACACACTCTTATTTGTCCATACGCTTTTGTCTAAGATCTTTAGCCTTGATCAATTTTTTCTGCATATAGACTCAGGTAGAACATTATTCAAGTAGCCATAAAGATGCGGCAAATTTTATCTTTATAAAGGAGATGATGAAATAGTAACCTAAAATAAAAAATAAATAGTCTTTCCTGCCTTCTAATGCGAAAGACAGCATTTTGGTCGATGTCATTATAATAAAATACAAGAAAGAAGAGGAATATTGATTCTGATATCAATGCATTATTCTAGGATTAGCTTATAATTCCTACAGCAAATAAAGAAGAAGTTATAAAATTTCCAGTATCTTCTTTCATATTATTGCAGGTGCTATGAAAATAGGTATCATAAATCATTTCTAATTTTAAGTCAACATAAGTGCATGATATGACTACTAGATCTAATAGTTAAAATGGAATCAACATGTTTAGTCTTTATAATTAAAACTTGAAGATACGTTATATCCAGAGCAACAGACCAAGAAGAATACGTGAATTAATTACAATGCCGTTACTTAACATCCTTATCAACGCTAACTGCCGGCAGAGCTTTCCAGTCAATACTCAATTCATGTTTAATTGACATATATTATTCAAAAAATAATTATTCCATTAATATAACTTGAAGGGCAAAAACTATCATAACGAAATTTGCTTTGATTATACAAGCAAAACAGGTAGGCAAAATATGCACGCCTTTATTAATTAATGTTAATACAGTCAGTATTGAAATTACTTCATGAAGTGACTTTGACTTCTTAAATGAAGACAAGGAGCTTTGCAATTAAAAGAAATTTTTAGAATCAATAAATTATATTGCTGCTGAGTACCCCAGTTCTTCATATTGAATTGATGAAACTATTCAAGTAGTGCTACATAGTAGCAAACTTATTAATAGAAATAGTAGACAAGGATTTCTTATTTATTATTATCACAAGTTTAGATTCTTCTCCAGCCAAACTGAGGTTTAATAATAAGTCATAAAATCAATAGAATGGATATTAATTAAAAAATGGATGCTATTAAAAAATAATAGTTCTAAATTTGATCGCCTACATGAATCTGTTATACGCAATCGACAGTTGTTATTATGAAAAATATCTTGAACATTTAGAACATTTGTAAATTTGAGCCTTGGTCTATAACAAGGTTTGGAATTTCCACTATCAAGATAATATGAGGTATTAAGAGAACTACAATGGCCAGTTGGTTGTAGCTTTAAAACACTAATAACTAACTGTTCAAGAAGAATTAGATATCAAATTTCAAAGGATACAGTCAATATATTGAACAAAGGGTGGTTGAGAATTTATCTATGTTGGGTCAATTTAAAAAAAAGCGATCATAATAAGTGATAGCTTTATTTTCAAAGAAAGGCAACGAAAGATGCAACTACTTTTGGCTGCCGTATAAAAAAACTATCCATTGAAGTTAAATCCAAAAAACGCACGAATTAGAGAGAATTTGCTCATCAATAGTGGCAAGACAAGACTGAATGACAAGTTTTTAATATCAAAGAATAAGATATTTCCAAAAGACAACTGTATGTGACTGAAATGTCATATATTAAATATGAAGAAAACTGCACAACTTATGAAATATACTTTGGAAGAGAATTGGTTGCATTTAAATGGCTCAGATTGTGATAGAAAGTTGACTATAGTTCAAATTAGATGAATGAATTAAAAAGACTGGTTTTGCATCATAATTTTGAAGAGCTCCATTCTAATTTATTGAGTTTATGTGCTTTTAAAACAGGTAATCATAAATGAATTAAAGTATTTGATAGGGTATTATATAATTTATATACCTGACATGTTGAGATTAATACTAAATATTGATAAAGATCATCATTAATATAAAAATGACTTAATTTCCTTTGATCTTTTAACTAACAGAATCAATGATGATCAGAGTCCTCTTTTGCTTAAATAGAATACATGTCTTCTATTAATTCTGTTTTAAACAGTTCTTTTTTTGAGGGATAGATTAAAATGACATACTCTGTATCATAAATTTTAAATGACTACTGACTTATTTGTAGTTGAGATTAAGATACAAATCCACATTAAAAATTTTTTAATATTTAAAATAGTTGAAAAAATTTATTAATCAGCAAGTGGGAAAATGTTTATATATTGTATTGTAATTTAAGATTGTAGTATTTTCTCCAAGATACATAAATATTAAAGTTTCAACTCGAGATTTATTCATAATTTAGGAAATTTACATGTAATAAAAAGAATTGTTGCTTTTATGAACATATTATATATCGATTACTTATTGAAAAGGCAATAAAAATGATATCATTTTATGGTTATTAGGGTAAAGCCCTGTATTTTTATTGAATATAATTTCTTTTAAAGTTTGATAAATTGAATAATATTTTGAAAATATCAAATACATAATGAACTCAAATAAATGAATAAAAATATGTTAATTTGAATTAATGATTATGGATTAGGATAAATCAATGCTGGCATTCAAAAAAATTAATATGGGATGAGCAAAATGATGTATAAACTAAAAATCAACAAATATTCTTAAATTTCTTTGAATACTTATGGGAGCTAAATAATGAAATAAAAAGAAGTGAATAAATAATATAAATCGTAATAGGTTGAAAAATGAGAATTAAAAAATAAAAAACCTATAAGTAGCATGAAAGAGATAATTAAATCATAATATTTTACTATCTATTGAATATTTAATTTAAGAATAATCTTTTCTTAAACAACATTATAAAATGCACAGGAGATTAAGAGGTTTATTAATTCTTTTAACTTTGATATAAATATATAATTGAGAATTTTTAACTTTATGGAAGGAAAAGCAAAACATTACCTATCCAGCTCAGATTCCTAATGATGATTATTTAATTTATTTCTCATTGTTAAAACTTAACATCTTCCTAATAAATCAAGGAAATGTAAAATATTGTTAAATTGTTATTATTAATAATAATTTTTGATAATGCTAAAAATTTCCTTTCTGCATCAATTTATTGATATTACTATCAAGATGCTCTTTAAGAAAGAAAGATTGGGTATGGAGCAATTTAACATTAAATAGATTAGTAGATTAAGTTAGATATTATATTTCCTTTTTTTTTTGAGAAAGTCTGAAGTTTAATGAGTAAATATTAGATGATCTTAAGTATTTAGTGGATGTTAAAATATATGCATTCTGTATTATCCGGCAAATTTGTATTTTTTGACAATATGAAAAAAAAATCCTAAATTATAAAAATAGTATTCTCTGATGGCAAATCACTGTATTTCCATAAATAAATAAATCTGCAATAGATTTACAATCTTTCATCCAGCAATACATAATAATTATTTTTTTTTTAAATTACTCATAAATTTATAAAAATAGTTTTGGATAAATTTCTTAAGACTTTCCTATAAACTTTATCAATGAAGCAACCAGATAATAACAATAGACGATCGGTTTACATCTATAATGAAATTATACTGAATTTAAAATATTCAAGGAATTTGGAATTGTTATTAATTATTAGGAACTGCTTCAGTAATTTTAGTAAGTAATTAACTAAAAATTATTCGCTAAACGCTATCGCAACTTTATAAATCAAATGTCCAATACATATAAACCAATGATTTCCTCTTTCCTACAATGAAAAAGTTTTTAGTTTTATATTTTATTCATATTAAATTTAAAGGCATAAATTATTAAATTTTCATCTAATTGTTCTTTCTTATTTGAAAATATAAAACATGAGAAAAAGGACTTCTATGAGATTCTAAAAAGATAAAAAAGAATTATTTTATATCGGCCTATCAAATCGATTGGGATGATTAATTATTATTTCATGTAAATTCTAAAAAAGGCGGATTTCTTTGGAGTACCATTTGTATAAAATATCGATCACTAATAATCAAAATATCAAAGTGCAACTGGAGGAATATTATCAATTACAATCTGTGTATTAAGTTTATCTTATGCATTTTGGGTTACTTACCTCTGGTAATCAAATTAAATGAATCCAAAAATATCTCGCGAGCATTATGTGTCAGACTATTCTCTCCTCGACTTAAGTGAGGATGTTGTAAGACTATTATTTTGGAAAGATTATGATAATAAAATTGATCCATTTGCAAATAATATTTTATTGCCATTAGTAATTTACGCTCAAAACAACACATTGACAGAGGCAAAAATAATTGAAAATCCTCTCAATACAACTGTAGGAGACTTTTATATACCAGATATGAAATTTGGTTTCTCCTATTATAATGGTTATATATACACTTCGAATGAAATCTATATAGAAATTGTGTTATGCTCTGAGTAATATCTAAAACCTGGTGAAAAATGTGCATCACCAGAACTGACAGAAGAATTTTTTGCCCAAGCAAATAATTTGATAATAGTTGAATTTTATTCAACAACAGTAGACCCTCGGGATGGATCAAAGTAACGCGGATTCTAAGAATATTATGTGTCAATCGAATAAAAATTATGCTATGTACTAAATACTTTTTTTAAAACAAATTTATTTGAACTTTAGAACTATTTTTTATTTGGCACATCTGATTACAAAGAATATATTGTAGACACATAAATATAAACCTAAACAAGTTCTTTTGAGTATTGTAAAAACACATTTTAAAATGACGTAATAGCAGTGATCTACCTTGGAATGAAAGGAACTCAAGAAAAAGTGATACTGGAATATCCGCGTTTAGGAGATCTATTAGCAAATATCGGGTCCATCGTATCAATATTATTTATGCTCAAATACATAATTATGTTTATAAATGAACATTATTTAAATAAAAAGATATTAAATGAGGTTATAAGTTATTATTATCCAGAATTTAAAAAGATCTAAATAACAAAGAATTGGAGAGGAAGAATAGTTTAAGTTCGTTTAAATTAAGCAGAAATAAATGTTAGGAGTTACATGAAATTTTATGATAAAGTTTCCAAATAGATGCGATAAAAATTTAGCTATTTGAATTTATTATATGAGATATCTAGGTTGTATTTTGTTATCAGATCATCAAAGTTCAGAAATGAATTTTGGAAATCCCATTTAATTTGGAATTAAGATTAATATTCCTTAGTATAAAGATAGTGAGACCCTTGTTAGCTAAAAGTCAGAAAAATTTTTTGAGAATAATGGTATCTTAAATGAGGATGATGCAGAAATACTATCTTAAGCCAGAAGTAACATCGATAAAAATTTTGATCTAATTTCTGAAGAATTATATAATGAAGTCGATTATTATTATTTGAATAAGATTTCATGAAATACATATCAATAATAGTTTATTTAGATAAGATGATGATCTTTGATCTAGGTTTATTATAATTTTTCGTTATTAATAAATATTGTTATCATAAATATTTTATTTGAATCACCTCTAATCATCTTCCTTATTTAGGATGCAATATATTTATGTGCATTTATAGAATAAATTGAAGACAAAATATTGATATTATTACATTTCTAATTTATCAAAATGAAATGTCCCAAATAATTAATTAGTTATATATAATTATTTTTAAATTAATAACGAAATAATTTTTATCTTTTTCGTCTCGTTATATTTAAAGATAAAATACAAATCTTTATGCAATTAGATATAATCGAAAAATAAGAATATGGATCCCAAAATAATTACTTTTGTAAAATTAGAAAAAAATTTGGACGAACATCGAAAGGAATAAAATTATACAATGCGCACGATAAAAATTAAACAGGCTTTTAATTTAATTGCCATATTATTTAGTTATTTTAGAATATACTTGTTATTTAAGGAGGTTCTAAAATAAATGATAGAATGAGACCAAAAGATATTAAAATAAATAATTGAATATTTATCATTTTTAATAATAAAAATAAAATTGATTTAATATTGATGTTAAATATTTAAATACTGATTAATCAAGTCTCATATATGTGCTATTTCAACTATAAATTTCAAATAATTCACTCCTATTCATAGCGATTCAGAATGAAGCATATATGAAATAAATTTAAACTAAACGGCCTCAATGTATTAAACTCAGCGAATAGATAAACACCATAACAGGTAAGTTATTATAAAATATAAAAAGCAGTAACATTCAATTATCAAACTATCAAGATCCATTACTAAGCGGCGAGATAATTCTAAATAAAACAAATTGACTCTCTGTTTAAATAATATAATTATTCTATACTACATTACGCATTTACTTATTGAAGTTAATCTTTAAGACCAAAAGTATTGATTGATTTTATACACTTCTAAAATTTATATTAATTACATACTGTATTGACTTATTCTATTTTATACCCATTTGAATACCATAGTGCTTTCCCCAAATGATATTTTATCAATCATAGTTGAGATAATTTTAAATAAATTTATCTGAATTCCAATCACTCATTTTTTAAATTTATTAATAATTTTATTATAAACAAATCATTTATCAACATCATAAATCTACTTTCTCAAACTCTTCTCTGTCACTTTGAGCAATCATTGGTCATCAATAATCATATCAATGATGAATTACTTTGTTAATTTCATGTGACCATATATCTTCAAAGGGTCTTTTTAAGCAGAATATGAAGGCAAGGATAAATGATTTACATACTTCAAAATTCTCCTGTTAAATAACCCTCATTATTAATTATTAAGCATATGTCCATAATAAATATAAAATAAACTAATAATAATTTATTTCTTAATTAATCTTTATATTCAATATAATTATTTATTCAGCAAAAAATCCTTGTTCATACTCCAATAATATATACTTTTCAAATAACTATAGTTTAAAGAAATAATATCATTTTGCAGTTATTAATAATCTTTTGCTAAAAGGTGATAAAAAGTCAGCAAAAGAAAACTTTAACGTAAGACTGAAGAATTAAACTTTACAAAATCCAAAAAGTCAATGAATGAAGTCAATAAAATTTGAATTAATCAAAAAAATAAACAATAAATTTCTAATCTATAAAAGGAAAGAAAATTAAAAACTAATTGGAGTATAAATAACAATGCTGTAATTAGGGAAAACTTGGAAAAGTGGGTTTGAGTTTAAACATATTTGAAAAAGCATTATTTAGAGTTCTAACATTGAATGCTAGAATATTAACTAATTTAAGTTTCTAAATAATAGGATCCTTAATTAATAGTAATCTAAATAAGTTTGGCACCTGATTTCTATATTTTATTTATTCTAAATTTAATTTGACTCTTTCTGAGTATGACAACAATATTAAGTTGGGAGAGAAAACAATAATTTTCCTGATCATCATTTGTAAACCAACTAAAATAAACATCATCTTTGGTTTAAACTCTAATTTTTCCATTAGAATATATGATCAATATAATAACAATCAAGTAAAGCCATATAATAATGGCTAGATTTTTAAATATGGTAAGGGTTTTCAGAAACTTTCGATAACTAAAAGCTTGGATTATATAATTGAAATATCTTTATAAAATAAATTTTAGGATAATGAATAGAATGATGTCGATGCCTTTTTTATAAACATTAAATTATGTAAAATCATAAGTTTATAATGAAGCCTATAGACATGTATGATAATGACTAAATATTATGCCTTATAAGAGTATTATTAGATGAAAAATTTAGTGTATATTTAAAAATGAATAAACCTAGTTAGAGAGCGTAGATATATGATATTTAATTAAATAGTTGTAAGCAATTCTTTCTGATACTTTTAGATCAAATCTGAAATAAAATTTTTATTAGTTTAAGCCAAGTACCCACTAAAATTAGATAGAAAAAAACGCAGCCTCGAGATGAGGAAATTTACTTTACAAAAATTGGGATTGATTGCGTTTTAGATTTTTATTGGGCATCCTTTTATAATTATGCTGAATAAATTATCAAAATGGGAAAACAAAAAAGGAATTAAATGAAGTTGAAATTGCCAAATAAGCTAAGCAAATTAATTATGAATACTATTGATCTAATACCATAGTATCTTTAATCTTTAGAACCTTTAAATGAGGAACATAAATCAAAAAATTTACTTACAATAGTATTCATAGTTGCTATTGATTTAGATTAGCTATGAAATGAAAGTTTTATATCACACTTATATTTAAAGATCAAATAAAAATGGCAATATAATCGCTAAAAATATTAATAAAAAATATTATATCAAAGATTAGAAATGTCTTCCAAAGTAAAAGAATTCGATAAAGTATTAAAATTGATAGATCTTAGTTAACTTACTAGAGTACAATTAATTGCAGTAATAAAGACAACACAAGATGTTCCTTGTTTAAATTTTCAAATTTATTCTATATTATCTAATTGAAATTAGATTTGTAAAAACCTCTTAATATATGTTTCAGCTACAAAAACGTATAATGTATGAAATAAATTCACCATATCCATTAAATATTGCATCAGCATAAGTAATTTCGATATAATCATCATTAAAAATATATATTAAGTATATTTAACTTAATAGATAGTATTAATTATGAGAATTTCAATCATCATCCATGCTTTTCAAAGACTGCTTCTGAAGATTTAGTAACTTTAAGAAGGACGAATTCTTAAGCATTTGTTGGATGAATTCCTACAGTTCTTAATGAATCACTTAATTTCTTTCCAAGTTTCACTACAATAGCAAATCTATATATTACTTCCTCACCAATTGGTCTTAAGTCACATATTAACGGTAGATCTTTCTCTTAACTAAAATTTATCATCCTTTAACGCAGAAAGGAAATTGTAGCAACTTGGGTACTATTTTAACTCTTTAATATTTCTGATACCACTACTTCAGTATCATTTGAACAACATCTTGTTTACTCTTAAGCAGCCTATCCATCACCAACAACAAGAGTCTTGTCTGGAGCTTTTTTATTAAGAAAAAAATCATCAGATATTACAAAACAGTCTATAGATCTCTATCATTATCAATAATCATCATATTTAATAATGAGTAAATCAAGTCTAGTAGTATAATTAGTAGGTGAGGAAGTAAGGTAAGATTAATCCCACTAAATAAGAAATGGGTATTGTTTGAAGCTAGTTATTTAGTGCATTATTCCAGAAAAGAGCAAGGCTTACCATCACCCTTACAAAAAATATCCAAATTTATTGCCTTGTAGGATTTGTTCATTTGCATCATCTTTCATCTTCAGTCTTAAATTTTGAATTTATTAAATATGCATAACATAATTGATACATGTTGTTTGTTCATTTTAACTATTGGTCATGCATGCTGCTTCGATAAGACCTAAGCAATTTGATTTCTTGTAATTATTTAAAATTAATATAAAATGAAATTCATGATGATGGACTTAAGGCACTCAAAAATTCAAACCCTACATATCAGTTATGTCATATACAATATTGTAATAGTACAAGAGGCTTTAGATATTCCCCTGATTTAAGTGTTAAAGTTGGAAACATTATGCCAATATCTGCAGCCTAAAGTTACAAATACCCCAAATCATGAAATGTTGCGCTAATAAATAATTCAGATTTATTATTTTCTTAGGCTTAAAATTAAAGAAAATTATTATTTTATTAAACCAATTTCTTTAAAATTGATTTTAAATTGAGGCTTCTCAAAGATGTTTACTTAATTTGTAAACTGGCCGATTTTATTATTTAAATTATTACTAAACTTAGTAACTTTTCAAATTTACTTAGTAAGTGTGCGAGGATTTGAATAAAATTGGATAGTGTTAGAAAAAGTTGTTTATTGAATGTCGAAAAATTGTCAAATCCATCCTAATTTTTGATAATCGAACTTCAGCTAATTCAATATTGAATTGACAAATTTGTCATTTTAATTAGATGAATCTAAATGATGAAAAATAATTGTTTATCTTGTATTTTTTAATTTGCCAGTCATCGAATATAAAATAACTATTAATTGCTCCTAAACAAACTTAAAAACATCATATGTAAACCCTTTATTATAAACTAATTAGACAAAAGGTTTCTTTTCCAGAAGCAGATCGTTGACAAAATAGATGAGCAAATGCATCAGTAACTGTAATTTCCATAGGAGATAAATTAAATTATACTAGATCATAATAAATCAGATAATCAGGAGTTAAGAAAGTGTTATGGTGTTTGCAATTTAATTACTTCTAAAATTTATTCCAAATAATTTATACCAGGCAAGATAATTTCCTTAAGGATATTACTTCAATCCAATATTATATGAATTGTTAATTGCAAGGTTATCATTAATCGTTTTGAGTTTTGAGCAGAGTATTTTAGATTGAATGCATATCATTAATTTCAGCCTTTTTACTGCGATATTCTTTTCTCTCTTAATTTATAAGCCCGATTCATTCAACATTAATTTGAACATAAAGATTTAACAACTCGCATCCTCAGATCCAAGTATCAATGATACATTTTGTTTTGAAGTTAAATAAGCATAAGGTGTTATATTAATTTTCAGTAAGCGATTAATTTTGAAATTTCGTAGCTTAATTGTGCTAGTTTTCAAGTCCAATTTTAAAAATTGTAGATAAGCATTAGAAGTTCGAAAAATAAATAATTCAATATAATTAATTATAAAACACAAACAAAGTTTTTATCATATATTAAGATTGACTATATTAATTATTGACCACGCTATACTGCCTTACTTAGTATATCTACCCAACAATTGATTTGAAAAACTCAATTACGAATTAATTCATGAACTCATTATGTTGATCAAATAAAAACCTTAAAACTAATAAATATCAATGTTATTGAGGATAAACTATACTCAAATATATTCATTCATCTGAGAACAGATTTTCTTTAAGAAGTAATGTTCACTAATTGAGTTGTTCTCAATAGAGGTGCTCAATCATAGCTGTCAAAAAATCCAATTTCGTTTACTAAAAAGAAATATCGTCAAATTAATAACAAAAACAATTTCGAACTATAAAACAAACTAATACCTTTCTTTGTCAAATGATCCAAAATTTTAGGATGATTATTATTGATGTTGTCTGAAATTTCGCAAATTTTGAGTTTACCTTATTATCAGATAATCAACATTTTGGAAACTGTTGAGCCATTAGAGATAGTAAGTTAAATATGATGGAATTTTTAGTATATTGAAATAATAATTTTAATAGAAATAGAGAATGCAAATTAGATGTACTTAAGCTGATCATCGAAATCAATAAATAATAGGGGTTTGCATAGATATTACCTGCCAAAATTAGAGACCCTATTGTAATTTTTGCTTGCCTTTCCATGCCAAGCATCTTTAAATGTTAACCTCTTTGGATCTTTTTAATGAATGGATTTAGCAACGAATATTTAGAGTTAAAAATGCTTATAACAGTGTGCAAGATCTCAAAATTTCCCTTGATAGACTGATAACTTAGTTCTACCCATATTTCAATTGTAATGTTAATTAAATCCCTGAATTTGGACTATCAGAGATTGATAAATTAATAAAAGGCTTATGTTAAATAGAAGATTGTGAAAAAGTATTATTTGTATAGCTTAAACAATCAACAGAATAAGCAATATAGATTATAAACGAAATATTAAAAAAAATGAAGTATTCATAAAATATTAAAGAAAATACTAATAATTAAATTTCTTAAAGCATAGATCAATCGATTTTAGAATAACCAAAGCCTCTATGTAAATTAAAAACAATAAAATTTGATCTCATGAATCAAAATTCAATTAAATAAGGAGATAAGTGTAGGGCAGTTGCTTTTAATAAAGATTGCTCAATTGTGGCAGCGGGATGTAACTGTTTAATAAAGATATTTGAATTCAAGCAAGGAATCTCGAAATAGGTGCAACTCTTAGATCAACATAAAAATAGAGTGACTACTATAAATTTCATGAAAAAAACTAATTAGTTTATATCCGGAGATTTTGAGGGATCTATTTTGATTTGGGCAAATCATGATAATTAATGGATCTGTTCATAAACAGCTAAACAACACAATGATCTTATAAATTGTTTAATTATGAATAATAATGAAGATATTATGATATCAAGCAGTGAAGATAAAACTATTAAGTTTTGGACTAAAAAAGATTAATGGATGTGTTAATAAACAATAACAGATCATAAACATTGGGTATTTTAGTTAAGCTTAAATGAAAAACAAAATCAAGTTATTTCTTGTGGATGGGATAAATTAATATTAGTAATTGAGTATTCAGAATAGTATAAAAGGTGGGTGGTATTATAAAATATCAAAATTGATTGTGAAGGTGTACGATTATGTTTTATCAACGACAATCTTTTCACATTTCAGCCTTATTAAGGAAACTAAATGCATATTTATGAGATGAATAAGGAAAGAAACTAGTTTATTAAAACTAAAAATATTACTGTAAATCAAGGTGAGGATGCTTTTGGATTCTTCCAATAATAATATATTAAATCAAAACAGTTACTTGTGAGTAAACATTAAAATTTCAATTTAATAAGAAAGTAAGAAAATGATGAATTTCTAGTTGAGTAATCTATTCAATTGGGTAGTAAGGACTTTTATGGGTAAATGAGTGATGATGGAGAATATTTGATTACTTGGGATGCGTCAAGTAAAGAAATATAAATTAGGAGATGCATTGAAGGATGAGGATTATTAAATTATATATATACATGACTAAGTGATTATTAAAAATGAGCTATTCTTTTTTGAATTTAAGCAGATAACTGCGTTATGATTAAAAATTCGATTGCTAAGAAATTGAGTTAAAAACAGACATAGATGGTGTCTAGAATAATACTAGTATTTAAAATTAAGTGTTTTCATTATTATAAGAAATCATAAAATGACTTTATATAAAGGGGAACATAATGATGATATCAATAAATGATAATGAAGATTTTATTGTGTCTGGTAGTCTTGATTAAATATTTAATTCTGATAGAAACAGAATCAATCGTTGTGTCCATCAACAATTACAGATCATAATACTTACGTATGGAGATTAAATATGAATGAATCCCAAAACAAAGAGATATCTAATAGGAATTACAATCATTTCCAGTTTTGCTTTTTATTAATTTTTAAATTGAATGAAAGTAGGACTATAGATGACTACATTAACACTTTTAGTTAACTAATCCTATTTTATTTTGATTATTTTTAACCCTAAAAAGATTATTATAAAGATTAATATATTTTAATATTTTCATAAACTTTCATTTAATTAATATTTCATAATATTCATATAAAGAGTGGATTAACATTTTATTGATTTCTTTTGCAAATCAATTTAACTTTTAAGAGTTATCCTTAAAAGATTAAAATTAATTCCGTAATTATGCCTGTAGATAGAAGAATTATTTGAACCCATCCCAATATAATTTTTTTCTCAATATTAAAATATTCATTAAACTCCTCGATGTATAGGAATAAACTAAGAATAAAAATGAATACTGATATCTCAACCACCATCCATACGATGTATCTCTTTTAACTTAAAGTACAGCAATATTTATCAAGGAATATAATTTATGATATGCTTGTCAATAAGAGTAATCCTAACTAAAGTATTTGCTAATTTTAAATGTAAATCAAGAATAATAAAAAGAAAAACTATCTACCGAAACTTAGAATTTCGAACCTTTTCATTTTTGTTAATTGCTAATTGCATTTGAAAAAATTTAGTAATATTTTAAAATAAAGTAGAAGAAGTATTATTACCATAACGAGTTGTAAAATATCTAAGTAATTTCTAGTTTGGATACTTCGTGTATATAATAAGGTTTTAAATATCATATCCCATCCATTTATAAGTAAGGCTTTTTACAATCCTTAGAAAGATATAAATTTTTCCAATTTAAGTAAATAGAGGCAAATTTTATAAAATGATTAACTAATTTTAAAAATAATTTTGGACTTATATGTAATGACAGCTATGACATATAGGAAATGAACCTAGGAAGAAATATTGATATGTACAACGCTCTTTTAATCCATTTATTCAAGATAATAAGGAGTAAAAACACGAAGCATTACAATATTTGGCAAGAAAGATTGATGATCAAGCTTGAGTTTTATTTGTAAACATTAAATTTTCCATCAGAATATTCCTAATCTTGCTACATATCAATAAACTGAAATATTTGCTGAAATTACATCAAATCCAAGAGGGGCTAAATAGTTATCAGATCATTAATAGAAAAATAAATATCTAAATTTTCAGGAAATTATAAATTGATATATCTTAAGTATTGCTAAAATTAAAGGATTGCCATAATCTCAACAAATAAATCTCCACTTCCAAATAATAGACTGATAATAGTAATTGCGAATAGGATGTAAATTAAATATTTATTAAGCCTCTTCAGATTATAAGAATACTCCTTCTGTGTTTCATCTAGATAATTTGGATACTGCAATGTTATTTATTTTTTAAAATCATCCAAAATAGCATCATCTATATTAGAAACTTTCTGATTTACTACAATTTTTAAAATTGGTCTAAATTTTAATAATTAGAGCACTTCTATTTAGAAAACATATTCTCCAAAACTTAAGTATGATCCAACATCCTATATAATATATAAATTGCTTTCCCAGTACTTCTTGTGTATGTCAGATAATTCAAATTTTAAAGTTTCTGATAAGGGTTAATTTGTGAATATTTTTACTTATTAATTAAATTTGATGCTTATATATTATTTATTTTAAGTCATATTGAGATAATTAATAATTAAGCTTGGAGCTTTGACAAATGTGCATTAACTAGGTTAATATTTTGTTACTGTAATGCAAACCCAATTTTATTCAATTAAACAATTCTTACATCCATTGGCTGCATAATTACCAGAATCACATTCCTCTTATCCTTAAATCAACCCATCTCCACAATTAAATAATTCTTTGCATTAATTCGAAATCAGTAATTAGTATTATTCATTGCACTCTAAACAAGTACCTTGATAACAATCATAGCAATTTTCTGGACAAGAATATATACATTGATAACAACCATCAAATTATATAGTATTACCATCATCACAATCTTCTTCTTTTGTTACTATTTAATCACCACAAACCGAGAGACATTTGTTATTAACAAACTCGTATCCATCTCCACATTTTAAAATGCATTATCCTCTATCACATACGTTGCAATCTTCAATGCATTAAAACTTGCATTAATAACAACCATCATAAGGTTGAAAATTTCCATCATCACAATCCTCATATTATTAGAGAATGAATTTATCTCCACAATAAGGAGAACACTCGTTTTCTAACATTTAAAATCCTACTTCGCACTCTAAGCAAATTGAAAAGTAGCTAGATTTACAATTAGGGATTGAAATAAATAAACAATCCTAACAACTATCCCATACTCCATTTACAGCAAGCTCACATTATTCAACTGAATATGGGGTCAAATTGCCATCTCCACAAATAGGATCACAATGAAAATTGGTATTAATTACAAATCCATCAATACATTATAAACAAATTCCATTTTAACAAATTTAACAATATTAAATACAAGAAAATTTGCATTGATAACAAGATTAATTAGATTATAGATTATCACATTGTTCTTAACCTTGAATAATTCCATCTCCACAAATTGGATGACAATTTTCTAGATATTCATCTTAAATCCAACCTTCTTAACAAATTAGACATTTATCATCTATTTATTCTAAACAACCTTCATTCAAATTCTTAAACATTATTTCAGGCTAAGTATAAAATACTTCAAAATCCCTTAAATAACTCTATTATGAAGATATTAGAGTATTAATAATTAGTTGTAATATCGGATCCTGATGATTTTTGATTAATATTTCAATTAAATATTAATTATTAACAGTTTATTTACCATATATAAAAGTCAGTTATATAAGAACCTGATTAAAAA